GTAGAAGTGAACGGCATTACTTTTCTCAACGTCTACAAGGCACCCAATGACTCGACAGCTATACAGCCTCTCAGCAACTGGATTCCACCGCCAAACTCCGTCGCTGCTGGGGACTTTAACTCGGTATATTGGGCTTGGTAACCTGGCGTGGAACGTCCTCATGGACAAGGAGAAATGATCGAAAAATGGGCAGACAAACACCATTTGATCTGTCATATTATTGGGGAGCCCACTCACCGAGCTGGAAACACGCTAGATCTAGTTTGGAGTAATGTCGACGGCGCCCGTGCTTGGGTAGATCGTGGTGGATGTGTCACCAGCGATCACTCCCCTACCCGAGGACAAATTCTAGTTTGCAACTCAGTGATGAGACCCGAAAAGGCAAAACTCCGAGTAACAAAGGATAAGCTACCCAGATACGCCAAGGTAATTGCACAGTGGGTCCGACCACCACCAGTTCTTGACTCAATCGAGAGGGTTGAAGAGTATGCCGAGGAAATTTGTTTCCATCTCACTAATGCAATCAATGCAGTAAGAACACGACCAAAAGCCCGCTGCAGCAGATCTGCTCCGTGGTGGACCCTAGAGTGCAAGGCAGCCTTCGCCGAATACAAAAGCGCGATAACTCCCAGTCAACGGGCACTCTGCGCGAAAAAGCTCCGATCAGTTGTGAAGACCTCGAAAAAGGAGTTCAAAACCCAACAGGTCGAATCAATTACTACGCCGACTGATGTATTCAAGCTAATGAGAATGGATAACCCCAGACAGGCTATTATCCCTCCGCCACTTAACCATAATGGGACGTTGATAATAGATCCATTAAAACGGGCCACGATCCTTCGCGACTCCCTCCTGGCACCATTTCAGGCATCAGACGACTTGTCACCAAGTACAGTCGCGAGCAGCAGTCGGATACCATGGGAAGAGGACGTAACAGATGAAGAGGTCCGAGCCTGTACCATTGGTTGCGGAAATACGGCCCCAGGAGCAGACGGAGTCTCCGTAAACCTGCTGGAGGCGTGTTGGAATACAATCGGGCCTTGGATTTCCCAACTGTTCCGAGCTTGCATTCTGCTTGGCACCCATCCAAAGTGTTTCAAATTAGCCGAGGTGGTCCTCCTTCAAAAGAACGATAGAGATCCAACAACAATCAAGGGTTGGAGACTCTCAAGGAGCAGTGTTATTAGTATTCCGTAAGGTACGAATTTGGTACAAGTAGGTTACAGGTGTGGAGTATGGTGGTGATTCCTAAGAGTAGGAGGTGTAAATTCAGCGTTAGGTATAGGGTTCACGAAAGAAGTAAAGGTAAAATAAGTAGTAGGTGAGAAGGGTACAATAACGGCGGTCTTCTTTAGAGAAGAGATAAGTAAGTGAACAATAGGTACGAGTATAAACAGAAGACGTTGCGTGAAGAAGAATACTCCTTCACGCTGGGTATATATGTATATCAGAAAATAGGACAGCCCTAAGCTCTGTCTCGAACAGTATTACTACGCATTCCCTATGAAACTACCCTATGTTCCTGAGCCTGTCCTAATTGTTTGAGAACTTGATCTAACCCCGAGTTGTGTTTTAGAATGGAACTCCCCATGAGACACCATCCTAGTTTCCGCCACGTTTATCCATGAAAGAGACCAATCGCTCTTCTCTCATGCTTGTGAAAAGGATTAGAAAGGCTCTTAGCTAAGCGGATGGCACACCTTGCAGTTATCCATGATGTAGTCGGCCAGCAACAGTTTGGTGCACTGCCGAAGCGCTCAGCAACGGATCTGGTCTCATGTGTGGTCCACGACATCGAAGAGGCAAATTCACAAGGATGGGCAGCTACTTTTGTAACGTTGGACGTTCAAGGGGCATTCGACGCGGTACTCCGTAATCGATTAGTAAGGAGGATGCAGGAGCAGGGATGGCCGGAGTCTATTCTCAAATGGACTAGCTCCTTCCTCGCCAATTGTATGGTTCAAGTGCGATACTCTGGGGGAGTCACTACCAAGAGAGAGCTAGTGTGCGGAGTTCCACAGGGCTCACTGATCTCGCCACTTCTCTTCCTTCTATATATGGCAGAGCCCATGCGAAGTGGAACCCCGGGTCTGAGGTTTAGCTACGCCAACAATATCGGTATCCTTGGATTTGGCCGGACGATTGCAGAGTCTGCAGTCGCAGCACAGGACGAAGTCAATAACCTACTAGACTGGGCTCGAAATAATGCTGTCGCTTTCGATACAGACAAGTCCAAAGTCGTACAATTCCCCGGACGATACCGCGAAACATCAGTTGGAATTTATGTCAACGGAACTCTCATAGAGCCGTCGCAAAATGTCCGCTGGCTTGGTGTGTACCTCGATCCTCGACTAAACTTCAAACACCACGTCACAACCTGGTGTGGCAAAGCGTTGAAAATTGCACAGCACATGCGTCGCTTCAATACAGCCTACCGAGGAGCTGCTCCTGGGGCGTTGGTTAAAGCGATCAACACATGTATTGTCCCAATCGCAACGTACGGAGCTGACGTCTGGTGGCCTGGCCTTAGACGACCAACAATACGAGGGATGGTGACACCGCCCACTGCTGGCCTATGTAGTATGATTGATAAGGCTGTCTTGATGGGTCTTAGGTCAGCACTACCGGTAATGAGAACAACACCCAACGCTGTACTACATAGGGAAGGAGGAATACCAACCGGGAAAATCATTCTCGAAGGAAACCGACTTCGCCTCTCTGCCAGAATGCAAACACTTGACGACCGCCATCCGCTCAGGATCCGTGCTGCAGTTTGCCCAAATGTCGGTACGCGAAAATATAAAAAGCACAATCGAAAATCTGCGCGTCCTGAAATTCAAATGTCACGGGCTCAGCGTGCTTATAGACAGCTACCAGAGGCAGAGGCCGCGGAACCTCTTGCCCCACCATTTTATCAATCGCGGCCGGGTTCGAAGGTTGGTTCGAGAAAAGACCAAGTAGAAGCCTGTAAACTTTGGATCAATAATGTGCCAAAGTCAGAAATCTGTGCTTACTCGGACGGAGCATCGGAGGGAAAGGGACGCTCAGCTTGGGGGTTTGTCCTAAAGCTGGATGGGAAAACCTTTCAAAAAGGAAGTGGCTTAAAGCACGGTGGAGAGGCTTTAGATGCAGAGATTGTGAGGGCACAGGAAGCTCTAAAAGCAGCGTTGGGTCACCTAAGAGGGAAGGAGTACCTGGCGAAGGGAACGACGCAGTGCATTAATGTGTTGATGGATAGTCGACATGCGATAAATGCACTGAGCACGGGCAGGTCCTCGACCAGCCACGAGGAAGTACGAAAGTTTCGCGAATTATCTGGGCTAGCTCAGGTAAGAATAAAGTGGGTAGCAGGACACTCGGGAATACATGGAAATGAGGAAGCAGACGCAGCGGCCAAATCCGCCCTACGAACGCTTCCCAGCGTGGAAACTGAACTAGCAACCGCCACGACAGCATTTTTACACCAAAAATTGCATCGACAGCGACAGACTTTGCTCGACAGCTGGTGGAATGAAGCTTGCTCGTCACGGTATCGTGAGCTAGATCTGCTCATGCGCCATCGTAAACCACCAGAACTGGGGCTTTCCAGGCTACAGTTACGACATCTCATTGCAGCCCGTACGGGCCACGGCAATTTCGCAGCGTACCATCGTCGCTTCAACAATCCGCACGCTATTACAGAGTGCATCTGTGGGGAGGAAACCACCCCTACCCACTTCATACATTGTCGACTCAACGCAAATATTACGCGTCGAATTAGAGGGTCATTGTCACACAGTGCCTTCTTACACAAGCTACTCGGGCCTAAGTGCTTCGAGAGCTTCAAACAATTTGTGCAGGATACCAATTGTTTTGGGTATTCTCCTGTGCATCCATCTCCTACTCTCAGTGGAGATCGAATGTAACTCGTCAGGAAACTAAACCTGACAAAATGGGAATCGAGGCGAGGAGTATTGCTTCCCATTCTAAATTATTTGCAATTTATCTTTTTCTTTTGTAAATTTTGGGAAAAGGAGTTCGCGTCGGCGCATATTTTTAACTTACTGCTGGTTTTGTGGTGGTTCATGCGGTGGAATCAAGCTGGGTATGTCTTAGATGTAGTTCTGGCTGTGAACATCGGTCCTGTACTCATAGTGGATTTGGAGCTTTAGCTTAGAACTTGAATAAAACAACAACAACACACAGAATCTTAGTCCCAGCATATCTTGGGCTCTCGCTTCTGCGGAGGGAGTTCACGCATTTAATAGCTGGGTGCGTGTCACAAATTTCTTTGGAAAAGCACAATAAGTCTGACCGAAAGGGAATCATGTGATTCAACTAAGTTCCCCCCTCCATATTGTTTATTTAATCTATTCTTCATTCAATACCATCTGAATACATGAGAGTTGAAGTGAGACCGGTAACCATGTATAATTTGATCTTCAAGTGCAGGATAATGAGATCCTGACTTTCATTTGCTTTGTTGGGTTTGTTCAGGCGCCAACACGTCGGGTAGTTTTATTTAGGCTGAGCTAACCGGCACGTCAGGAGCTCACGTGCTGTGCGCGGGCACGACGTTAAGTATTATAAAAAAAATAAAGAAAATTATTCAAAATACACTGATAGATATAGATACGTTTTAATCAATAACCATTTTACCCAATCTTTGTGCTAGCACATTAAATAGAACCGGTGATAAACCGACAGCACCACTGACAGGTGTTTAGAATAGTCACCCTTAAACGTTTACAGTGCTTCCATAACGCCAAACCTCCATGGGCGGCCCTTGCCATGAAAAAATACTGGAATGAGCACGCTCCGGACTGACACAGAAGAATCGGCATCAACTCTTAAATCTGTTACCCGAAGTAGCTCTTACTTAATAGAGATCTTCTTTCAAGGCTTTAAGCTGTACATTCGGGGCGTGGGGACTTCGCTGTGTACCACTCTCGTTCCAACTACCCAGATGCACACGTATCTAGCAGCAACGGCCTGGCCAAAGCGATTGAACATTTCCTAGAATGTACTTTGCCCAACCAGAGTCTTTACCTAGTTCCAGATTCTTTCAGCAATCCGATAAAATTCTATTCAGGCTCCTGGGAGGGGACTATGAGTATATTCAAATGGTTTGATCAGACAGACATCTACTCAACAATGTGCCCTAGAAAATGAGGTCGTATTACTCTAAGTGGTATGTTGTTATAGTAGAGCATGAAGTTCTCATTTTTTTAGGTATGCTAGAAGGGCTTGACCCCCAATATCTATGAGAACTAATATTGGGACATTTCAAACCTGGAATTTCTTAAATGTAATTATAGTCTTTAGTTAGATTCACGAAGTCCTTCATAGTCTTAGACTCAGCATGGATTATAATCAAAATCTAATTTAATCTAGTTATTCTAGCTGTCTGATATACATTAAATGTCACGCGATTAGAATTAATGAACTTTGCACAATAATATTTAGAGGATTCTTACACCTTCACTTATCTCAACAACCATACATCGCATTATCGGTTACTTTTCTTTACAAGAATCTTCAATCGGTGCAATGGCCCCAGCTGTTGCATCGTCATCGACAACGCCCTCCAATCCAGGAGGGCAACTTCACCCAAGCCTGCTTGGCATTGTGAATACAATGCAAAAATCAGAACAACAACGGAAAGAAAGACTGGATATAGCCCATAAATTTCTAGAACTAATCGACTCCTGGGCTAAGAGCAAAGGAGAGAAACAAGCAGCAGCAGCTGTCGCGACTCTGCTGGAAAACATCACGCCTGTTATCACTTCCTTCGCAGTAGATCAGATAGAAGCATCTAAATTTCCAAGTAAGAAGCCCCCCACCATGGCAAGCACTCCAAAACCAGTCGCGCCTAGGAAAAATACAGCTGTTGAGGATCACAGCCACGTTCTACCCCAAAAGCCTCAAGACACCAGCTCGCCCTGGGTGACAGTAGCTCGCAAAGCGGCCAAGTTACCGACACCACCAAATGTGCAAGTTCCGCGAAGGCCTGCTTCATCAAGCCACCCGAAACCACAGACAACCCAAAAGGAGGACAAACGCCTGTTCCTTCGATTGGGGAGAGATCACCACTGGCACAAGCTCTCGCCAGTTACGATCATGAAAATCATAACCGACAAGGCTGGGATAGCAGCCTCAGCTATCACCTCCATGTACCCAGTCAGGTCAGGGATCGCTCTCGAATGCGCATCAGATGCATTGAGAGATACAATCATGAGGATTGCACCTTCCCTACAGGAAGAAAACACCGTGATTGAGGAAGCTTCCAAATAGACATCATTGATCGTACCTCATGTGCCATTGTACATCAGGACGCTTGAAGGCAGCATCCCAGTCACCAACAATATGGTGAAGAACGAGTGCCAGGCTGTATGTGGCGCCACACCAATCTAGGTACGGCCCACGGAAACAAAACTTAGCCAATACTCCACGAGCTGGATTATTCATTTGCAATAGAAACCAGGAAACACAAAGTTTCGTCTTTTTGACAAGAGCGGACCAGCGATTCCCTTCTCGCGCCGAAGACCAATCGAGCATTGCCAACGTTGCTGGGGATTCCACACAACGCGTTCCTGTACTCGGAGCCAAAGATGTGGGAGATGTGGGGGAACCCACGAGACATCAGAGTGCCAGGCAAAGGTGTTAAAGTGCTCAAATTGCGCGGGACCTCACCACTCAAATGAGGGCAGCTGTATGGCCCGGCCAAGACGACAAAACGGGATAATTCTGCCCCACACCCCGGCAGAACTTCACATCATCAGAGAACGCGGACATCGTGATTATCATGCTGCTCTAGCGTACTCTGAAAGGAAGGGTAAGGCGGTCGAAACCGTCATTGCCCAGGACTCAACAATGTCTTGTTAATGTTAGGAAACCCCTCAACAAAAGCACCAAAAGGCAAGTACAACACCATCCACTTTCACCAAGTGAATGTCGGAAGAGGTGGGGAAAACACGGATATAGCATTGCAGCAGGCATGGGATGCCGGTGCACATGTAGTCATGGTACAGGAACCATGGACAAGAAAGAAAGAGGGGGGTTTTATAACAAAAAGTCACCCTGGCTACAATAGCCACATACCATTCGGAGGAACAGACATCCGGCCCCGCGCGATAACTTTCACGCGCAAAGGTAGTCATGCGACTCAACTATTTCTACCATTGTCAGGCCCGACATCTGACTACTGTTTTGTAAAGATGGGCAGCCTAACCTTTGTCAACGTATACCGTGCCCCAGGCACTAGTGGAACCTTGGAGCCCCTACTCCGGTGGGAAGTTAGAGGTTTAGTGTTTGTTGGAGGCGATTTCAATTCTGTGTCACAGCATTGGCAACCGCAAACAACAAATCAGTACGGCAATGGTAACCAGATTATGGAATGGGCAACAGCCCACGACATGGACCTAGTCAGCATTGTTGGAGAGCCAACGCACAAGGATGGGAACGTCCTAGATCTAACGTGGAGCAACACGGCCGCTATAGCATCAACGTCCAATCGCTACCACTGTACCTCAGATCACTCGACTATCGAAGGTATTGTGCTTAACCCTACAGTGTCAGATCTCTCTGGAATTGTAAAGAACATTCGTGTCAGCGACGCCAACTTGAAGGAATTTAGCCGATGCGTTTGCCAATGGACCAACTCTGGCCCTCTCGACAGTGTTGTCAACATCAAAAATTTCACAAATGATCTCCTACAAGCACTTGGAGATGCGCTCAAGATTGCAGGGAAACTCCCAGCTATCGAAAGCGGAAGAACTGGGCCATTGTGGACCGATGAATGTCGCACAGAATGGCAAGAGTACAAGGCAGCGAGAAATAACCAGGACCTCGTGAAAAAGGCCCGCAAGAGCTTTAGAGCCGTGGTACGAAAAGCCAAGCGAGAGTACTGGAAGAGGCAAGTAGAGGCAGTGACTACTGACGCACAGGTATTCAAGCTCTTGAGATGGGCTAAGCCTCGACCAGCTGTTGAGACCCCTCCCCTGCAGATTGACGAAAACCGGTGGCTATCTGACCCGCGAGAGCGAGCTAGTGCGCTACGAGACATTCTCTTGGCTAGGTTTAGCGGCGAGAACGACATCTCTATCTGGGAGAACGGACAGGAGGAGCGTATTCCATGGGATACGGAATTATCACTGGACGATGTGCCAAGCGCCACTGTATCTGTCAACGACACGACACCGGGAGCGGACAAGATAACGGTACGGTTACTGAAAGCCTGTTGGTCCTAACTAGGACCTCTCGTGAAAGATCTTTACCAGGCTTGTCTGAAAATCGGCTACTTTCCCACGGCCTTCAGGGTGGCAGAAGTTGTGCTTCTTCCAAAGCCTGGTAGAAATCTGTCAACTGCTAAGGGTTGGCGACCAATCTCGCTGTTTTCGAATTTAGGTAAAGGACTTGAGCGTCTAGTTGGTAAGAGAATGGTATGGCTGACAATAAGTCACCAAGTTGTTCACCCACAACTATTCGGCTCCGTACCAGGAAGATCTGCAGTCGACCTTGCATCCTGTGTAATTCATGATGCTGAGGCGGCCATGAGAAGTGGTAAGTGTGCGGCTATGGTCACAATTGACATTCAAGGTACATTTGATGCAGACCTTCAAAACCGACTGCTCAAACGCCTGCGAGAACAAGGCTGGCCATGATCTCTGCGCCGGTTTATTTAGACGTTCTTTGTCAACAAAAGGTTCAGGTCAAACACCACAGTGGAATCACAGAAGAGAAGATAATGGAATGTTTAGTACCTCAGGACTCGCCACTATCGCCACTTCTTTTCATGCTCTGGATCTATCAGAAGCGGCATATAAACAGCAGAGCAGAGACAAGGATCAAGACAAGGATTCCGGCCCAAGAGGTTGCCATCCTACATTATGCATGAAATAGGTCCATGACTACTCGGCCAGAAGGCCAGACCAGAATCATAGAACACTAGAATCAGGTTATCTCCACATATATAGATTATACAGTAGGTATTCCTGACAACATCGCTCTGCTTTTTGAGGATCATGGTCTAACGAGCAGGTTTGGTCATGCTGACAATGTAGCTATTGTCAGAATTAGAAACACCGCGGCGGATGCTATCTCCGTAGCTCAAGACGACCTCGACAGCCTTATTCTTCTCGCAAGAAAACACAGGATCGATTTTGACCCAGCAAAGTCAGAACTTCTAGTAACTGGAGGAGGGCCTAGAAAGAAAATCAACGCGGCTGATCTTTCCATCTTGGTGAAAGATCGCCGAATCGAACCGTCACCTCATATACAGTGGCTAGGAGTCTGGCTTGATACCCAGCTAAACTTCAAGCAACATTGTAAGGATTCTTGAGAAATGCCCCAGGCAGGATTTATGGGTCCCTTGTTTAATCCCACTAGTCTTTATTGCTTAGCGAGGGCACCTATGTAGTTTCCATTTCCGAGACTGAGATCTTCACGCTTTGTTTTCTATCTTTAGGAATAGTTACATTATTCTAATCACGTCTCACTCTCGTCCTCTGCCAACTATAGTGACCTACCGTCACCTCCGGCCCCTTTATCTAGAACGACTCCCCGCTTTCCCATTTACCACTTCTCTAGAAAGCCCTCCGCGTTCCCACGAGGCGTCCTTCCTCAGTACATCGTACGCTACGCCCTCTCCTACGTCTCGAGTCTTGCGCCTAGTGAACCTGCGCCTGACAAACATGTACAGGAATGGACTGGAAAAGCTAATCGTCTAGTCTATTTCTTACGACATATAAGCGGAGTTCAACGTGGGGCAGCACCCGGACCTCTGATTCGTGCAGTACATGCATGTGTTCTGAGCACAGCTCTATATGGGGCAGAAGCGTGGTGGCCGGGTCTCACTCGAAAAACCACACTACGAGATAAAGAAGTCGGCACTGGAGTAGGCTGGCATATATCTCTACTGGAAAAAATGATAATGAAAGCTATCAGAGTAGCACTCCCAGCGTAGCGTACCACTCCCTATGGCGCTCTTCATCGTGAAGCGGGAATACCCCCGGCATCGATAATTCTTCAGCAAAAGATGCTGCGGTCCGCAGCTCGTATGCGAAGAATGGATATTTGGCACCCACTGGCCCTTCGGGCGGCTGAGGACCCGAAAGAGACAATAAGACGCTTAGATCTTAGATGAGGACAAAGAAATCGTTTTTTCAGACAACCAGAACGGTACATGATACGCCTACAAATGAGTGTGCGTCGAGTCCCGACAGCCGAAGGCCCTGGAAAGCTATACTTCCTACGTGGCACCCCAGTATCGATTCCACGTAGTCGAGAAAATGAAGCTAGGTCTGGAAGCATAAAGCGATGGTTAGCTTCCCATCCACCTAACATGATCTGCGCTTTCTCTGATGGATCATCATCAGGTCCTCGAAAATCAGCCTGGGGGTATGTAGTATACCAAGGAGGCAAGCTAGTTGCAAGTGGCTCCGGTCCACTTCCCGGAGCAGAGGTATTCGACGCAGAAGTTGTAGGTGCCATGAAAGCCTTGAAGGCTGCAATAGAGGTAGGAGAAGACTTACTGATCTGCATTCTTCTGGATAACCAAGCGGCCACCCAGGTGCTCGAAAGAGGAAGATCTAACTCCTCGCAGTCAGTGGTGGACAAGTTTTCGTTGCTGAGTCACAATAAGCGTGTGGAAATACGCTGGATATCCGGGCATACGGGGATCTAAGGCAATGAAGAGGCCGATAAGCTGGCCAAATCAGCCTTGGGAGCTCCCAATAACCGGTCACTAACCTCAGCTGCGCCCATTCTAGAAGATCAAGACCAAACATTTGCGGCATTAGGGAGGTGGGTTAAACAGTGCAGCCAAGAGCTCGTGGAAGAGTGGTGGCAGAAGTATCGACCGAAACGATACAAAGATCTGGACCTATTCATGCGCTGCAAAAGACCACCGGAACTAGCTTTACCAAGATGGGCGTACCATCGTCTTATTGCGGCAAGAACAAGCCACGGGGACTACGCCGACTACCATCGACGTTTCAACCCCGAACATGAAGATCTGAAATGCGTTTGCGGCCGAGAGACAAGGGCATGGCATTTTCAGAGTGCCGACCTGCTTTGCAACGTTGGAGAAGCTATGAGAAAATGGCCCCACCCGGGGCCAGGGAAATGATAGGGGAGAAGGGATGGCAGAAGTTTATTCAATTCTTAACTACAGGCAGATGTTACAGTCTGCCGAAGAATGAACAGGGTGGGAGGCGACTACGCTGAGATTGTTTCTGACCCGAGAGGAGATGGGTGTGGATGATAGGGATACGGCGCAGGGCACCGCATCTCAGACATATACTGTTCATTTTTTTTCATTCTTTTCTTTTGTCGCTTCTGGCTCCACTGCCGGTCATGTAAGTAGCAATGAGCTTTCAGAGCCCATCTACTCGTGTCACGTCTAAATAGATGTTAGGTTCTTCCTGTCGCGTAAAAGATTTCAAATTCAAATTCAAAAAATTTTTAGAGCTATCACACTGCATGTGGCAGTCTATCTACAGGAAAGGAGCATAGATAGTACAGTCAAACCCCTGTTAAGACGATATTTTTTCCGGAACGGATTTCGTTCCCATATATTCACCGATTACACGATTATCGTTCTTCAACCTCTGAATATCGTCTTAACCAGGGTTTTTTGCTGGATTGATGCTAACGATGCCGCCAAAAAAGGGAATTTCTGTGGAGCAACGACGTGCTCTGCGACGATGGGCGCACCGCCAGGTCCCAAAACCAACACAAAAACAGTGCATTGAGTTGTTCTTCGCTGAGTACGGCCATCGATTAAGCCAGTCCACAGTCTCCGAATCCTTGAGCAAGACCTTTGCGAAACTCGACGAAGCCACAAGTACTACTGCGCTACGACAGCTAGCTGGAAACTGGCCTGATCTTGAGAGTATTAGAGCGATTAAAGACGGCAAATGGGATTACAAAAGAGGCATCAAAAGTACAAAGTAGCCTAGATAGCTGGATTAATTAATGATATCCTTTTAAACGATATCCTCTATATGACGATATTTTGCACGACCCCGATTACATCGTCTTAACAGGGGTTCGGCTGTCCTCAGGCTCCTGAGGGGAAAAGGTTTTTTCGTTTTGTTCTTTTTTTTTTTAATCATTTAAGTGTATTTAGCTATGGAGCTATGACACATGACCGGTGCTATGTATACATGTTGGATGACTCTTTTGACGTTAGAGACACTCATACTCTGGATTTCATTCGCAAATACCACTATGAGGTATGCTTGCTTACACAAACAGTCGACCCTCCTTCGTTAGTACCCACCAAAGGGAATCTCAAAACCTTTGGTTATCCAAGCATGCCTTCGTCATCCATGTGCACCAGCGCCGCGCGAAAAGTGGTTGTGTTTTGCCGGATTTGAACCAGCGATCTACTGTCTCGAGTGGGATATGTGTCCAAGCTATCCAGACTTTACTTGGCAGACCAGCCAAGACGATGTACCACTGCACCATCCAACCATGGCGATGTTTATAGTGTCGCCTGCACTCTCGCAACCGAAGTCTTGGCACGCACAAAGCTCAATTTGTAAAAACTCCTCTCCAAATTTCCAAATTTCACGCCCGTCGAGACTGTATCCATCCTTCGCACCATCTTATGAACTTGTCCTGATTCCTCCCAAGTCCATCTCAAAGAACTGTCTCCCAGATTTGTGCGCCACGCTTTGCTTTCTCTGTCGGGTATAAATATCGGCGTGGGCGTGTATTTGGTGACCGGCTGAGGCCAGAGAAGGTCGGCGAGAGGCGTGATCATTGGACTAAGGATGTACTAGGTCGTACTTGTAAACTTGATGAGGCTTAGGTAGGATTCGATCTTTTTGGGAGTGAAAACTTTCGTTTTGTTCATTTACGTGCTTGGTTAAGTGACTACCGTTACATTCCTTCTGGAGCTTAAACACGGGTGGGGCCGGGCTGGATCAGGTTAACTGCCATTAAGTACATCTACTTCGTCCCACCTAAATGACCGGACCACCTCAGACTTCACTCATGTGTTGAATCATATCAAGCTCAACCGTCCAGAAATCCCCCTTTTGGCGCGCCGAAGCGCAAACTCCACCCAGCATCGGCCACCACGCTCCCGAGCCCTCGACTGAGAGGAAAAGGTGTGGCGCGAATGCGACACCAGGCATTGACTTGTATGTCTGTTAAAGGCTCGGTATCTCTTGTCAGGGAGTACAAAGGGCGAGGCTTCCAGGTCAGCAAGCACTGGCTTCTATATCTAGTGTTTAGTAGGTAGAAGGGGCCAAGGTTTCGGCTTGGCGTCCCAATGGACGTCAGATGATAAAACAAACAAACTCAAGGCCTAGCTGATGCTGTCATAGATTGTAGATAGCCTTAGTAAGATGATGGCTCATGATACAAACTAGGAGGCTATTATGATCTACTAAGCCATTCCCTCACATCAAGTTTACCAGTTAGAGGTTGCCGCGAGATCTACCTTTTTAATGAGTAAGATAACTGGATTGCTCCGAATACTTTAGTTATACAGTGGAGGTCATTCCCAAACTAAAACAGCTGAGCGATTGATTCGAACTCAAGTCCGCAAAAATCTTTAGGTAAACATGATCGTGAGAGCTTTACATAGCTTACATGTTATATTCCGACTTTTGGTCCAAAGCTTTTTGAGTTCATGCTTATGAGGATATTTGGTATTTTTCTTTTAATACCCGGAGTTAGATTTGAATTTGATTGATTGAATTTTCAATAGGCACAACTAATTGGCGTTTCTCTCTACAGTGAAGAGATTGAAAAGTTCAGGATTTAAATGATTATCATGTCAAATACGAGATAACAAGAATCGTAAGTCAGGATAGAACTTCAGGTTTCGCTAGCCCTACTCGCCATCACCTTTCTCTTCCTTTTTTCCTCCTCCGCGTTAAGACTGGTGTAGTGTGCAACAAGAACATCCATATCTTGTGGTCCCTGTCCAGCAACTACGTTGAAAGGTGAACCAGTGTTGAATATCCTGGTTGTTGTTAGTATGTCGTGAAAAGTTGCCACAAGCACAAGGCGCGCATACTCTGGAAATCTCAGATTTATTACTTTTTTAGGAGGGCTACTTCCATGAAACAAGTTCCGATCGTACGCAGCTTGTTCAATTGCTTTGGTGTGTAAGAGGTTCCTTTTTGACCATTCTTCATTATAATGGGAAAAGCTATCAATGTATCTCGTAATGGTTGACGGTTTACCGTTGGCGTCAGGTCGGGAGAGTGTATATATACCAATCGAGAGAGGGAACAAAGCAAGTGTTATGTATAATTGTTTCTGTTTGGCCTGATCAGTATATACTTTGACGAGATAATTCTAGTGTACTGACTCCGAGGGGTTCGTTCCTAGGTGCGGTGTGATGGCCATGATTACTGGCAGAACTTGATGAACGACGTGACAAGCCAACTGACTTTCTTAAATATTGCGACTTCAATTTGTCAGAAAATTGAGTCGAGGTATTTCGAAGTGCGGACATTTTTGAAAATGATTGGCATTCGTCATGGCATAATATCAGTTGGATTCAACGCTGAAACTCGTTAGTCATCATAACTCGGGTCTAGGGTGAGCCATCTTGACACGTCTTCACTTGAGGACCTGACTAATTAAAAAATGACATTCCTAGGCTTTCACAGACCTGAGTTTACAGAGTCCTATTTGTTGGACAGTACTCCTAAGAATCAAATTTCAGAAAGTGATCAAGACACAGAATCCCTAGCGAGTTTAGAGACGGACGACGGACACGACCATCCTCCTGAAAAGATTATAGCCGAAAGTACCAGCTACTCTGGCTTTATTCGCTACCTCGTGAAGTGGAAAGATTGTGATATATTAAGAAGTAGTTGGGAGAAAGTTGGATTCTTTGACACTCACCCAAGACTATTAGAAGAGTGGACTCAAGAGAAAGAAAAGATTCACCGAGGGGAGAGGAAGCCATTTGATATTAATGATTTTAACAATCAAGTGTTAGAAGTTGAGAAAAGAGAAAAAGAACGAAGAATCTTGAGAAGGTACAGAAGAAAAGTGCAACGACTTTAATCCGAATCACTTTGATATTCTCTATCGCTGCTAGAGAATTCATTTTTCAACCTCTCACCACAATGCCCCCCTCCATACTTCAGCTTATTCGAGTCATTCAATATATTTCTTTAACTTCCTTAATTTATAGCTTATCATCATCTGCGGAAGATACGACTTTAGTCTGTTCATCTACCGATGCAACAGACTGTTATCCCCGGATTTTCCAAGCAACAAAGGACTTCCAAGATATCAGAGAAGGTCAAGATATACCCCCTGGTCTTCATGTACGATTGAACATCTATGATGGAAAAAGAGAGGCGCGTTTAAATATCCCAATGGAGGGCGAGAATGGTGAGGTTCAAATTTCGGATGAAAGTCCAGCACAAAATTCAATAATAACTATCCCTACACCGGAAAAAGAAGCGCCAATTCAAGAAACAATGCCAATTAAACACGAGCAGAAGCCCCCCGCTTATAGACCCGAAGGGAAAGTTCCAATACCAAATCCTACCGATGCAGAAACTTTTCAGTCTTCTTTACAGTCTATCAAAAATAATGACCAGTCTCTTGATCAAGCGCTTGATAATTTATCTGACCTATCGCATGATATTTACTTTGGCATGGAAATAATCAAAGATGCTTCTGCCCTTCAAAACCTTGTTTGTATGGCATTCTGGCATGAGGCAAAAAACAATTCTACCTCATTTAAGATTATGGGACGCAAAGCTGCCATTATAATTGGATCAGCGCTCCACAACAATCCTGGTGCAATGAAGGAACTTGAGCCAAAGAAAAATATCGTCATGTATCCTTCTTGTGTAGCACAATCTGAGACTACTAACGACATAAAAAACGAACAATTTGTAGTAGCTTTCGGCAGAAGCTTAAAGCAGGAACAAGATCCCATCATACTAAAGACTAAGATTGTTACCCTAAGTAGACTTTTAAAGGAACCCTCGATCAGAGGTATCTTTCTTAAAGAAGAAGGAATGAAGCTTCTTCTCTCAATTTTCACGAGCGACAATGATGGCTTTAACATTGTGCGAAGAAAGATTAGTGAGCTTGTCATGGACAATTTTTTGGATGAGGAATCAGGAGCTGATATCACCGTTTGGCCAAAATCAAGACGTAGTCCTAAGAATAGATGTATGAACAAGGAGAATAATTTAGAGGATGGATGTTGGGAACATCATATTGAAAAATTATCTGCTATCTCGCCCAAAGAAAAATGGCTTAAGGAATTTTTATCCGCCCTAAAAGACCAGAGGTCGAAAAAAAAAACTAAAACGGAATTATGATGTAACGATAGTACTTCAGGCTCGATAGCATAAAAATCAGTTATAACTTTATACCAATTTAGGCATGTCTAGAGTTTTTTTCCCAGTATATCCCTAAGTCCTTCCTACTCCGAGAGTAAGCTTAGTGAATCAATAGCATTTTTGAATCTAGTAACTTCATTAGATAAGTACTTGATTTGATTTCATGTAGTACGTGCAGATACCCTGTGAGCCCATGCATGTATATCTAGCTATAGTATTTACATAGGAGGAAACCAAATTCAGTAAAACCCCCCAAAACTGTCTGTCTCGTATCTATTGGTTTTCTGAAGTGTCCTACAGGAATTGCGATTACACTTTACGTCCAGTGTGAATACCGTCCTATCATTTTCCCGATCGCATCATCATTTCATTGACTCCTATCTCAACTTCTTCTGCAAGCCGGAACTGTTCAAACCAGCCGTTAATAAATATCCAATATGTAATTCTCTTCATACTATCCGGGTTGTTAATCATAGTTTCAAAAGACCTATCTTTTGCTTGTCGCAGCAACTTTCCACTTCCCATTGCCCACTAAGGACAAGCCAAGATAATGTTTCACGTTTTGTGACGGAAATCTACACTGGCATTTTGGATTTGCCACTCAAGGGACCTTTCTTCTATCTAGATAAGAGTTGAGGCCAATATGCCCACTTTTCATCTGTACTGAAATACTGCTTTGGGCCCTGCTCAAGTTTCGGTGGATGTCAGAGGGTGTGTTTCTGTAGGTAATTCTTTTTCTGCCTGATATCTTATCGGTGATGATACGTACTGCTCTCCAATGTTCCGCCGACGGTTGGATGTGGTGTACAGCAACAGAAATAGAGCATGGCGGAGCTAACACGTCTGCTACGCGATCCACATGTACACTTTTTGGGTCCACGATTTAGGCTGAGATGGCTTGATGACGCGTTTCAAAGCGGAGTTTGTTTTTTGGTGTGGAGAGGGGGATAAATTTAAAATTCTAAACGTTATTGGCTCAATCTCGTATAATAATTAAATCAGTAAGGTTGTCCGTCTAAGTTCAGTCAGTAAGACCATCCTTCTTATATTCATGTACGCACGGATCACCTTGAATGCCTGCATAACTAGAGCTGACTATACTTAAATATGCATCCGCTCACAAATTTAAATAAATACATTTGATTATCCTCGTTTGATTCTCTGGGAGCCCAAGCAGCCATTTTTGGAAGACATGTAATTTACGTAGTAGTTTATTATGGCGTTTGGAATACTCACATTCAGTCTTTATTTGCAGATACCACTTAAAGTCAACCTTTCGGCGTACAACTTCATCCGTACATTCCCACCATAGGGAAATGAGTGAAACCTAATTATTTCATTGCGCTTTTATCATCCGGCACATGCGATGTCATCGTGAGAGAAAGTGAAGTGTGATACTTACTGGATTTTAACCAGCTTTCTCTCGTCTCGGCTGGGGTAAGTGTTCTTTTTTTTTTTTTTTTGCATCAGATTTTAATTGCGTATGCAGCTATCTAGCTATGACACAATATTAAAGAAAAGTACAGAATAGATGATTCATCGTTAAGGAAGAGCACTCATGCCTCAGATTTCATTTGCAAGTACCACTACGAACATATGGCGACTTTTTTTTCACCCCAAATCAACTCTCATCCATGAATACTCACCCAGGAGAACGTCTCCAAAATCCTGGGTTATCCAGACATGCCTCCATCATCTTTCTACTTTTCTCCGCGCGAAATTTGGTCTTAGGCGTCTCCTTCCCAAGTGGAGTAGGTGCCCAGGCTACTCAAACTACACCGGAGAACACCACCAGGAGGCAGACCACGGCACCTTCCATCGTTGGCTTGTGTTTATAGTGTCAGCTGCACTCTCGCAAGCGAAGTCTTGGCGCGCACAGAACTCAATTCGTAAAACTCCTTGCCAAAATTCAAAGTCTCACGCCCGTCGAGATTGTATCCATATTCCGTTTCATCTTGTAAACTCGTCCTTATCCCTCTCACGTCAATCCCAAAGAACTGTCTCCCAGATTTATGCGTCACGCTTTGCTTCCTCCATCGGGTAGAAATATCGGCGAGGGTGTGTACTTGGTGGCCAGCTGAGGCCAGAGAAGGTCGAAGAGAGGTGTGGTCATTGGGATGAGGATGTGCTTGGTCGTACTTGTAGACTCGATGAGACGAAGATCGGAGTCAAACTCGTTGGGAGCGAAATAACGACGTGGATGAGTAACTTTGATTTTTGCCTCGTGGGCCAACTTCTTTGATATTGCGAAATATGACTGAACTTGGCTCTGGGAGAATATTTCACTCCCAGGTTCGTAGAGGACACCGCGCACAGGTGTTCAGTCTTGCCCTCCGGGGTAAGTGTTCAAGCTGCCCTGAAACTACCTGGGAAAACTACCGGGGTGGTGCACCGCTGCACCATCTAACCAGCGTGGCAAAAGCTTGGTTCCAGCATAAGAATGCGTCAAGAACAAAGACTAATCACCTTTCTGCAGTGTCAGCTACGAACTCGAGAGTGAAATATTTTCATAGAACCACATTCAGTCAGATTTCCCAATACCGAATAAGTTGGCCTAAAGCTATGACTCAGCACTCCTAACCAAATCAACATCTTATTCTCAACAAGGTCGATTTTGCAAATTATGCCATTAAAATGGGTATCTCTGTCGTATGGAGAAACGAGAGATCTATTTGTGCGACTGGCGCGGCCAGAGGAAGCGAAAAACAGTCGGGCGTCTAGCGTTGGACTGGCGAAGATGAAAGAGAGAGAGAAATAAGATGTGTAAACAGATGAGAAAAGAGAAATTCTCAACTAGTAATGAGAGTAATAGATCTAAAATTTTTGCAAATAGAAAGGCAACAGCCGGATCGCTAACTCTTCCGAGGAAACAGAAGTAGGTAAAAGATTATCTGAACAGGAGGAAGAGCAAGGAAGGGCAGACCGACCCAACGCACTTGGATGGAGTGAAATAGATAATGAGAAAAGAATGCAGAGATATTTAAGAATAGGATTTTCTTGAGCAATGCATAAATAGACGCGGTAGCAGTACAGAGGTGCCAGATGAAGAAGGGCTGCTCCCATGAGAGCCAAAGTCAAAATCCTCGGATCATCGAGCAAGGGAGGTTCGCGGACGTGGCACGAGCTGCCGCCAAAAAGGCCGAAGAGGCGATCATCGCCTCAGCGAAGGATGTCTCGATAGCCGAGTGATCAGGTTTCAGAGAACTGAAATCTAAAATCTGAAGAAGGAGCTTGAGGTAACAGCAAACTCGACGTTGCCTCTAACAGGCATCTACTAACCAATTACAAGATACCGGCTGGATCAAAGTTGCCTGCTAACCCATCTTTTACTGTCAGCGGAGATGGAGTAAGTTTGTCATCTGGAAGGTGTGACGGGCGATGGAATGTGTGAGGAGCGAATTGCTTAGATCCAACATGGAGGAATCTTCTGTCTTTCGGATTTGTTTTGATTTTCGGGGGGTTTCTTTTTTTTCGTTCCTGTTTACTCAGCTGCACTTTTGGCAGCGATTCACGGGGTTGGAACGAGTTAGGCTGTAGGAAAAAGTATAGAGAGCCCTGCCGGCTCCACCGGTCCTGCACCCATAGTGGACAAACTGCTTAAGCTTCGGGAGTGAAATATTCACACAGAACCACGTTCAGTCAAATCTCGCAATTCCGAAGAAGTTGACCCGCGAGGCAATGAGCCAAGACTCTCTACAAAATCAAACTCTCCCACCCAATGATATCGATCTCTACAGAAACCTCATCAAGTTTACAAGTATGACCAAGTACATCCTCGTTTCAATGACCACACCTCTCTTCGACCTTCTCTGGCCTCAGCTGGCCACCAAATACACACCCTCGCCGATATTTCTACCCGATGGAGGAAGCAAAGCGTGACGCATAAATCTGGGAGACAGTTCTTTGGGATTGACGTGAGAGGGATAAGGACGAGTTTACAAGATGAAACGGAATATGGATACAATCTCGACGGGCGTGAGACTTTGAATTTTGGCAAGGAGTTTTACGAATTGAGTTCTGTGCGCGCCAAGACTTCGCTTGCGAGAGTGCAGCTGACACTATAAACACAAGCCAATGATGGAAGGTGCCGTGGTCTGCCTCCTGGTGGTGTTCTCCGGTGTAGTTTGAGTAGCCTGGGCACCTACTCCACTTGGGAAGGAGACGCCTAAGACCAAATTTCGCGCGGAGAAAAGTAGAAAGATGATGGAGGCATGTCTGGATAACCCAGGGTTTTGGAGACGTTCTCCTGAGTGAGTATTCATGGATGAGAGTTGATTTGGGGTGAAAAAAAAGTCGCCATATGTTCGTAGTGGTACTTGCAAATGACATCTGAGGGACGAGTGCTCTCCTTTGTTACGGAGTTACTTATTATGTACTCTATCTCTGTTATGGTGTCATAGTTAGATAGCTGCAAACGCAATTAAAACCTGATGCAAAAAATACCTAATCGTAGTCAGTTTCATGACAATGGCGCTAAAGGGATGTGCTGGGAGATGAAGACGATACAGAACGCGAGTGTTGGGTGTTCCTCATCGATGTGAGGATGAAAGTGTTACTCAATCTTGACGCTGCAGAGTTTACAGTGAGAGCTGGAGGTTCTTTTAGGACACCACTGACAGGTGTTGAGTTTTTGTCCTCAGTAATACTACGTCAAATCAAATCAAAATCAAACACTCAACTGCTTTATTTCATAAATAAGTATATACACCTTAAAGCGGTGCCATTGCAATCACTAGATATGTTTTGCATATTTTTATGATAGCCGAGTAGAATCGCATCTTGTAAGCAGACTTGTGCTTGCATAAGTCTGGATCCAGTCCAAAAGCGAAAGCACGATCTGCGTGCAGGCATGTCAGACTAGTAATGATGATCAGGGGCGTTATTAGGGTAGAATTAGATATTATAGTGCTACGGGTCCATCGTAGCAAGGAGACAATTAATCAATTCATTCTTGTATTCGCTTCCACCTTTTGACGATTCACGTGACATTCGCACGAAGACCTCTCTAAGTTTTACACATCTAAATGAATATTAACATAACGCATGGATAACTATAATCAATGACTTTATACTGTTGTCAGCCCTATAGTTCTGAGTTGGGTTCCCCCACTGAGTCTTACCACAAAACATCTCATCTCAACTACTGATCAGGTTACTGCTTCCTTTGCACATCAGATATTGCCTCTTCAATCCTCCACTCGCTTTCACTCTTTAACAACGATTCCATGTAGCCCGCAAGAGTTTAAATAAACCGTAACAGATAAAGCTTGGGTACTGGCCTGCGTGGTTTGCTTTCAATGTTGCTTTTTGGAACTTGAGAAGAGACAAGTAGCCGCTTGTAAGAACGAGTGAGAGGGGAGATTGATGATCGATAGATTGGGGTAGATTTCCTTCAAGGGGTTTCCGAGTTAGGAGTGTTAATGGCGCCAAGACTACAGTTTCGGGTAGCGCAATCAACAATTAAAAAACATGAAGCGCCGCGAATGCTTGAATAGGTCGTTTTATGAGAAACGTTACTTCGTTCAAGATATTCTCTTGATTGATAATATCTGAGGGTTCGGGTGAGGAACAGGGCAGCGGACCGAGATAATGTGTTTTTAATTTTTGTTTTTTCCTAGTTCGTCGAGAATAGGTCATGAAAGTGATGTTGAGTCGTTCGGGATCCACTATTCATGTCATGTTTCTTGTACGCAGGGCTCGTGCTTGGCAATTAATTGGAAACTGAATAAAGGTTGAAAGGAGAGAGAGGCTAAAACTCCTCATCTTTCAGTGATCTAACTTACGAACCTTCAGCTCTCAGTTTCTAGACTGAAGATTTGCGATTGAGTCACATCTTTCCAACCATGAGCTGATCTGCATCCCCCTCATGCAAAGGTACGTTTCTGACAACCTCCACGATGATCAAGGCGACGGTTGTGACGCTAGGAAATAGGGAAATATTGCTGCACCAAACGAAATAAAGGTAGTTACAAGAGCTCTCATTATATCCTACATGTGCTACCTACCGCCAGTCATACAAAAGCCCTCGGATGCATAGCAGATTCCGCCTCGTCAACAAAATCGTCTCTCTACTTCTTTACCTCCGACTATTCTAACTAGGAGATTATCTAATTTACATACTTTAATCGACAACTCCAGGTTTGTGCCGATTTTTGGACGCTAGGCTAGGATACTTCACGGTAATCGTTCTCGGCCAAGACTTTTCCGGTATCATTCCGCAGTCTTCAGTTTGCCCTACGGCACGAATCAGGGGAGAAGTGAGGAAGAGAGAAGCTCCTAAGTATGTACAGTTCTGCCACATCCAACTGGCCAGCCTCTTCGAACGTTTTAAAATGGTAATTATGTCTTCGGATTTAGCCCTGATGTCTGTTGTAGGACAGCCCCATGTCCGGTGGATTTTGAGACTTTTCACTGCAGCTACACGCACGCAATTAGCCACCATTTTGTTTGTTGGAAAGGGGAATTAGCTACGGGATAATTACTCCCCTCAGTGTGTACCCAAATGAAGACCTACAGTGGCTTGACCACTAAAAATAAGCCTTCAAGGCAAAGATACTCCTGGCATCTAGGAAAAATTACCTACGTCTATTATATATTCATTGATTAGTTCGTAGAAATAACACAGCCGCTAAAGGAAAATGTCTTAAAGAGGTTCATCCGTGAATGTATGATGCGATCAAATTACGGGAAGTTTAAGACATTAGGCTTCGTAGTTGCCCGAGATCCACACTTATCACTGAGTCATGACGCGAGGTGCGCATTGAAATCTATCCTTGATGGACATGATTTCGATCAGAATTGTTTGAAAATAAGAACGACACTGATCTACATGTCACTGAATGAGGAGTTCTTTGCATCTTCACTAATAGTCAACAATATTATTCCATTGTCGAATATCTCACATGGTAGCGATCAACCCACGCAGCAGGTTCTGACTACAAAAGAACTTCAGTTATCTATCAGTACTGACCTCCAGTCATATCTGACAGACTGCAGAAAATTCCATACCATTTCACAACATGACTATCAATTTTTGTCATGAACTGCTCGTCAGTGGGGTTCGGGTGACTGAGGAAGGGATTCCGGCGAAACGAGAGTTGCCCTGCTTGCGTCGAATGTGACGGACCCGGAACATCCAAGCATGACTCTGCACCTCGAGTGGAGAATTACAGCGGCACGCTGTGCATTTACATCGCGGTTTAGATCTTTACAGTTTGTAGACCCACGCCACTAAGTGTGAGAAACCGTAGTTGCGATCCTGGGAGGGCCTCCACATACATTTCACAGTGAAATTGTACCAAATGACGAAGGCACGCGAGCGCATCCAAATCATTTGAAACATTCGTTTGGAGGACACCCCAAGGCAAAGGCTAATCTAAGCGTGTAGGTAAATATACCGCTGATATTTGGGATGAAATATAGAGTATGAGGGTATGTGGTTCCAAGAGTTACTTGATAGACATACAATACTCTAATCTTGCCTTGAAAGGATAGCTGATTAATCAAAATATGAATGAAAAAATACCCCATGCACTCCATCATCCGTCGCGCTCATCAACCGATGAACATTCATTCTTAACACTGTCAGATAAACGTTCAGATTTGTCGAGTTTATCGATGGTTGAAAAGTAATTTATCGTGAAAATCATACCAGTCGACCCAGCCTAATGTTCTGTTCCTAGTCTGCTACCATACTTTTCCCCTCTAGTAACTAATGCAATTCCATTTCCGAGAGGAAGAGAGCGGTGTGTTTATTGTAATACTTGTGTCTTAGGCTATCTAGCACATTGAGCTTCTCTCTGACCCAGGCTACACCCTGTACAGTGTCCCTTGCTACTTTTTTTACTTGTAAGATCATTGATATATTGCCCGTAATTAGTAGCTATTCAGCTCAGTATTTACACATGGAATTCGGCCACCTTTTCTACGGGAACTTCTACCCCAAAAAAATAAAATGGTAGCAACAGAAACTGCGTGCGCGGGAAGTCTCAAAAAACCTGCATCCCCAGCCAGGCGAGGCCTAGACACTAGGACCACATGAGGTGCGTATATCCTACTACACTTCCCTTCTTTGTAACGTTCGAGGCCGACTTGGTCCAATCCAGCATCCCCGAATCGGGCGCTGGGTACGTTCCGGAAACTCATCGGATGGCTTCTCCTCCATGATCAAGGGTGGGTGATGAGTAGGGCTCCGACTCCACCATCTGATCTGATCGTGGTTAACTTCATGATAGAGGTGATAGGGGGATGCACTTAGGGATGAAGACAATGTAGACGATACAGACGGCGAAAGCGATTCGGAATCCTCATCGAAGTGAGGACTTTGTCACGCAACCTCGGCCCTGCAGACTCTATAGTGAGAGCTAGAGGTTCGTAGGGGATGCCACTGACAGGTATTGCGAATAGTCCCCCTCCATTTCCGTGAAAATAGAGACGAACACACTCCACCCAGAATGAGCCGATGATTCGAGACTTTGCTGGGCAGTGATGTGCGTAATACACTGCTGCTGAAGAATTTGGCTAGTTGAAATAGCGGGTAGTGGGCAGGAACTTGTGCGTTTCACATAATCATCTTGTTTCAAGATACTGCCGCTCGCGCGTAAAGTGTTCCACGCCCTCGAATAGCAAGCATCACCATGAGAATTTCTTGCTTCTTTCGTTTCTTTTGCTCTGGCAGAGGATGCGCGACTCAACCTAAGTGCGACAGTACCATGGAGCACAGGCATTAGGTCACCCCCCAATCGCAACTCTCTACCATCTCCCATGAGTTATTTGTTTATGCCATAGTGACAATGAGGGGCTAACGTCATGTTTCCAATTCTCATTGCATGGGGCTCGGTGTCAAGAAGTTCAAGTCTACAAACGGTTCCCGTCGCGCGGTCTGTCTCGTGCCTGTCATTCATCTGCCAGCGGCGTCGCCGCACTTGCACCACGTATAATAGGTAGGTTAACTACCTATTCAAACTCTTCTTTTATCTCAAACTTTATCTTTTCTTAATTCTGCTGGCCAGTTACTCTTAATAATATTATAATTTTATTTAATAAATATTTTCATTTACGTCGGTACACTACAATCTCGATAATCTCCCTTTTATCACCTACGCAACCTTTAACGATTCAACCATCTTATTCAGAACTATTCAAATTACAAAATAAACTATTACCTTAATTATGCAGTTCTCAGCCTCCGCAGCCGTTCCTATCCTTGCTCTATCACTAGCCTTTATAGGTTCAAACGCTCAAGGATCCCAAAATAACACTAGTACCACATTATACTTGGCTGTGAGCAGCTCAACTTCTACCGGTCAAGGTTCGGCTGCAGCTTCAGGAATGGCTATGGGAATGGGAGGAGGATCTGGCATGGTAAGTAACACAGTCTTGAGAAGAGCATGCCGCATTCTTTATTTTTCCTAGCCCTTAGTTCAATCTAATTATAAATTTTAGGCTAGCAGTAGCAGCAGCAACAGTGGTACTAGCGGCAGCAGCAACATGACAAGCAGTGGAAGCAGAGGAAGCAGCGGCAGCAGTAGCAGCAGTAGTAACAGCAGCAGCAGCAACAGCAGTAGTAGTGGCAGCAGTGGCAGCAGTGGCAGCAGTGGCAGCAGTGGCAGCAGTGGCAGCAGTGGCAGCAGTGGCAGCAGTGGCAGCAGTGGAAGCAGTGGAAGCAGCGGTGGCGAGAGCAGCGCTAGCAGTGCTAGCAGCCCTGACCCTAATAATAATGCCAACGCCGACTCCAGGAATGGAACTAACCCATCAATGCCTGACATTCCAACTTCAATACCCTCACCCGTCATCCCTCAAAATCCCACCTTTACATCTCCGGCTATTTTAATGCCTACTGGAATGAACCCTGCTGGAGGCATGGGAGGCAACAACGCTGGTGGATCTGGTACCGCTGGTTCCATGGCCATGGGAGGCAACAGTGCTGGCGGCGCTGGCGCAGCTGGATCTATGTCGATGGGAGGTAACAGTGCTGGTGGCGCTGGCGCAGCTGGATCTATGTCGATGGGAGGAAACAGCGCTGGTGGTGCTGGCGCAGCCGGATCTATGTCGATGGGAGGTAACAGTGCTGGTGGCGCTGGCGCAGCTGGATCTATGTCCATGGGAGGTAATGCTGCTATGGGCGAAGCCGGTGCTGCTGGTGTCGGAACAGCAGGTACGACTGCCGCTGGTGTCATGAACGGAAATGCAGGAGACAACGGTGGTGTCAAGGCAGCTGAATCGTCATCAACGGTTACAATGCCAGTATCAGATAGTGCCGCTTCAACCCTATGGAATGTCCGTATATTTGATGTGGACGGAGCTATTGTCGGGGCAATTCTCAGTGCTCTAGTCCTTAGCTTATGGTAATCTGAATGTACCCGGAGAGCGAGTTTGGGTTCGGAGGAGAGAAAAAGTTTTACATTTGGAGTTATAATATCCTTGTTTTAACCATGTATAATCGAGGATCCAATATATATTCTTTGAGTCTGTCACTCGATCTCTTGTTGCCATCTCAAGCACCTATAATTATTGTCATCTGTTTACAGGTGGTTGCGCATAATAGCAAATCTGACATACAGTAGCTGAAATAAACGCAGGGAATTGCCAATATCTCATTTTTATAGGCCCTCGCGAATCTATAGGAACATGATTTAAAAGTGTTGTTCTTCCATTAAACTTCATTCACCAATCAAGGTGTGTCTGTTGAATATAAACTCCATGCTTCTGCTTTACCCTCTACTTGTTTGCCCTAGATCAACTTGAATGAGTCCATGCCATCACCCTCCTGCTATGCTTGATGTCTTCACTTCACACCGACGAAGCCTAGACCGTGACGGGCGACAAGTGAAGCTCGGCGCAAGGCCTGCTCCTCGACATCAGTCCACCGAACACTTAATTGATCCCATTTCTTTGTCTTGTACTCTCGCTTAAAGGTAGTGTGCAAGGCCTGCAATCTACTCATTTCGAGCGGACAGCCGGAGCCGCTGTAAAGTATCACAGCAGTACAGGGCGGGAGGGCTGAGTAGATGTCAAAAATACGCTGCGTCATTTCCGCTATCGCACGCGCTGAGGGTTTGGTTAGGGCAGATAGTGGGAGGTCCATGGCTTCCGATACAGCTGTCGTTGCCGAAACACTAGTTTGTTCGTCGCTTTTGATGGCTATGTCAGGTGTCAATTGATCCGAGCCAGGCGCGCCTATCGTGGCCCGCCGATTATTATTCGACCACCCCCTAAGTGCCTCGAGCTCGCGGAAGCGAGCCCACACAAAATCAACTCCGCCACCGGGTATTTCCTTGCCATCAGGATCACCTGTGACAGCGCGAATCACACCTTGCATCACTTCATCATCGTTTTTACAACTGATGGGAAAATCGGCAGCAGCACCTGGCCCTTTTCGTGGATCGCCCCAGTCAACTGCAGCACTAGTCCGACCTGCTGAAGATTGAGCTGTCGGTAGACTCTGCTGACACTTGAATCTTTTTCCAGTTCGGGCTACACGTTTGAATATACTCTCTCCATAAGCCTCGAAAGTCCCCCAAGCTTTTCCTTTCTCACATTTCTGTTTGACCAGGTCAAGGCAAGTCCTAGCGTCTTCGATAGAATCGTGACCGGCGCCAGGTCCAGTCGCACCGTGTCCTTTTTGAATTTCACGATTTAAATATCGTTGGGCAAGGAACTTTAGTGATGATTTGAGAGGTGGGCCTCTTGGATGAGGAAATATGATTGCGGTGTCAACGATGTGTGGATGTGTGATCTTCAAGGCTGTTAAGTCAGAGTTTAAAGAATGGCCAATAAGAATTGTGTGGGAATGAATAATTTTGAGTAATTTCTCTTGTATGTCGCTCAAAGTCGTTGTTACGTTCTTCAGTATATTTTCAGTTATTCCGGAATATCTGTGTTTTATTAGAGCTGTCAGGATATATATCATAAAAGCTTACTGAGTAAGGTAGTTCGTAATTGGCTCTGCAGGCTTGACTAATTCGTCCATGAGTACAGATCCATCCCAGCTCACTATACTTATCCTAGTAAGTGAAAAATTAGATTCCCCTGTCATGCACATTTCGCAATCCATGGCGAGCACTTTCCAGTCTCCAACTAAGCTGTCTTCTGTTATTAGATTTCCAGATTCAGGACGAGCATCATCGTCAAGTATGGCAACGTGCGTATCAAGCCAACCATCATTAGTCGAAGTTCCTACAGATCGCCGATATTCTAGTAGAGAAAGTTTTTCTGCCTCAGTTTTGTATGAAGCAGGATGAAGAGTGTATTCATTTTCAACAAGTTCTTCTGGACTATGAAGTAACTCTGCAATGAGAACTCGTTGATCCTTCCAGCCTTCGGGCTCTTTTACGACAGAAGGTCCCTTTTTTTTTTGCGTTTGATTTTCTTCCTTGCTTTTAGGAATAGGTGCGATAAGCATAGCTTGTAGAGGAGAATACATTTTCATATTTTTATCATCCCCGGGTGTCTTAACAGGCCAAACATAATCAAACATTGTTGCAAATTGTTTTAAATTCTCTGTAAGCTTATCTGATTGAAGCTTTATTGGATAATAACCTGACGGAGAGTAAACCGAAGAATTATCTCGGATATCTGAGTCTGTAAACATGGAGAGTTCTAGGCCTGGCACCATAATTATTACAACCTTTCGAATCTGCGGTCGATTCCGAACGGAAACAAATTGTGGCGATTCTCCATCTGCTAGAATATAAAGAGCCAGAGACTGTAAGTCCCTGATTCTGATCTGTGACTGTAGTTTACATTCTCCTGAAAAGGTGATTGTGGGATAATTATCTGAATTTGATTTAGGGATTTTTTTTAATCTCTTGTTATTTCGTCCGGTTTCCTCGTGGAATTTGGAGGTGAGGCCGCCTGATAAGGCTTCATTCGGACGACTAACAGGATAAACTTGATTAGATGATTCTAAATCGTGTTGAAAACCTGTTTCCTGGGCTGGGAGCTCGAATGGCTTCGTAGTAAATTCATCTTGGCTGTCATCTTCATGTTTGCGCTTCTTCGTAATATCCTCCGGTGATGGCTGGGTTGGATCTCTTGCTTCATGGCTAATCATGATTTAATCGGGTAAACGGCGAAAGTGGTTGACAAGGCGAGACAGAATGAGTACGCGACAGACGAGCACAAGGCTGACGTTACCTATTTCGTTGTTCTCTACGTCCTCAATTCATTCGGACGACTGAGAATACCTTTGAGTTAGGGTGAATAATTGTTTGAACGGGTCAGTTCACTTATTTGCTCAAGGTTTTAGAACTGCAGTGAGTTTTATTATTGAAGAATATAAACATCCAATGGCACACGAGACTTTACCTCTCTAATCACTTAATATCTTTCGAATGATCATCTATCTAGCTGCTTGGTCACAAGAGTCTAAATACGTAGCCCTGCTCATCATTTTATTTCTAAATTTGTAGCCAGAACCTAACATGGATCATGGAGATTATTATTTGTTATTGCATCAAGTGCAACTCGGAGGTTGGTCGATTTCAAAATGCTTGGAATGCCATCGGAAATACTTATCACAGTCCTATCCATTCTCCGATTTCAGGGGATGGTCTAGAGACTACCGGAAACATCTATGAAGCAGCCCGCGGTTCGTCAATTCAGTTTAGGTGAGATAGCTTTATAGTTATTACCCGTCCCTGTTAATTGTTTAAATTATAGCTTACTACGAGATATAGTCTGCGTAAATTGCAGAACTATCTTGGGCCTTAGCTGTGATAGTGCACCCGGAGCCCACATTTTGAAGCGGTGAGTGTCTAAGATATATTTAAGATGTTTAATAGAAATTGTGCTGATGATTGGAGTCCTCAGTGGGCAGCTTATACTTAGACTGAAAGAACTAACCATTGTATCAGAGACGTCGGGAGAACCTGCTAAAATATCTACACACAAGGCTATACCTCTCATTAACGAGGATGGCAAGAGTGTACTTCCTAGCCAGCCAACATCTATTACAACCAAACCGGTTGCTAGTCCTCTATCATCTATTGAGCCAGGCGCTCCATCATTATCTACAGATAATAACAAAGTAGTTGAGAGGCAGAGTTCCTGTGAAACATCTATACGAAGGCCATCACTCTTTACAGAAAATGTTTCTCGTGTCAACAAATTGCTGGGTCAGGAATATCAAAATCCTTCAGCTGAAATTGAAAAGTTCAAATACTGGGCAGAAGATACGATTCGAGAACAACGTTTGGACATAGATCGAATCTCAGGGACTATGCTTAGAATTGAAGGAGATGTCCAAATGCTCAAGGAATTTATGTTGGAAGTCCGTATGAATCTTGCGTTGAACCTCATGCCCTCAGCTCATGAGTTTAAGCTGGACGAAGTCAGGAATGAAATTAAACAAGTTAATGAAAAATTGGCACAGAGAGAACCAGGAACTGACTGGAATAAGGCTGCAAGTCTTCTAGCCAGAAATCTAAAAACAGTCGCTGCAGAGATGAATAAGTTATCGACTCAAGCCAAAAAGGCAGATGATATGAGATCAACTCTCGAAACGTTAACCGTCCGCCTTCGACAGCTTGAACAGCAAAATCTAGATTCATCAGACAATGAACTTCCTACGATAGGTAAATCTCTAGGAGAAGCCAGTCATAGAAAACGACTTTATAAAAAAGATGATAACTTGTATGAAGAAGCAGGAAATCCTGGTAAAAAAATATTTTTGGGCAAGCCGAAAGTTTACCACAAGTTAGTCAAAAATAAAGGGCAGGAAACTCCACCATCAGAATCTGCCGTAGTAAGCCTAGCTTCTCTAGAATCTCAATTAAAAAGTATTGAAAAAAGTGAAGGTAAAACTGCAATAGAAAGTCCCATGTTAAGAGAAAGTCATGTTTTTTCGAATCGTAAGCCGCAAGTCCTTATTCGGAGCTCAAACTTGAAAATTACGCATCTGAACTCTGGGCTATCTCCCGCATCATTGTATAAAGATACAAAACGTGACCCGACACCAAAAGTTGAATCATCATCAAGCTTAGTAGAAAATCAAATCGAAGATATTGAAGCCGGAGTATTAATCTCGTATAACACTCCAAATTCTCGTTCTAACTCGTCTGATTACAAGTCTCCGCCTTCTAAGAAAGGGGATCTTGAGTATACAAATTTTGAACGTCGGTCTCTTCGAAGTGCTAGATCAAAAATAAAAAATGAAGCTAATGAGATACCAACGAGCAAGAACCCACAGACGATATCAGAAAATCATTCTCTAGTTAGCAGCAAAGATACTCATCTTAATTCAGGCGAAGAAGGCGAAGTGATAACAGAGAGAGGCATTACTCTTTCTGAAAAAAGTAAAGGGCTAATACAGCAGCGGGTCAACATTGATGATACTTCAAACTCTTCTCAAATATTAGAAAATGTGAGAAATACCTTCTCAAAATTTATTTAAATTATTTGCTAATCTGAAGGATTAGAATCATAGGTTACTCGAAGTTTCAGAGGAAACTGAAACGGAAAAAAAAAGACCTTTTATTTGTGAGAGATGCGGTAAAAGCTACATAGCTTCCGGTAGTTTACAGAATGTAGGTTTTTCTCTTTCGCTTTCATTTCTTCCAGTTCTCTCAAATTAGATTGTAATGTCGCCTAATATCTATCAATAAATAGCATTACAAACGTACAACATGTGCATAATTAGATCTCTTAATTCAAAATTAAATATTCACCACAATACATAAATTTTCTTGATTCGAGCATAAGAATATATTGAAATCTAAAAATATATTGGTCTAGTGAGTTGGACCCACTTATATTCATACAAAATACTAATTATAAAATCCCTCAAAGGCCAATGACACCTGTAAAAATAAATTATATTCAAGCTACGAGTAATACAAACTTCTAGGCCTGAGAGAACAACTAATGAAAAATTCGATGAGACAAGCATTATTATTTGAGATTGACTGTTTTCAAAACAGATTATCATGTTTTTTGTGTCTTTCTGCTGAGATTCATCTATGTTAGGTGTTAGATTTTGCGACTTCAATCTCCGGAAAGTCAAGGTTATTTACTTGCCTTCAAAAATTCATACTCTCACTGTTTTAAGCCTGAAGGCTATCTCGACATCTTCATTCTAGATGCAATTTCCTGTTTATTTTTGACCATTTCTCTCGCTTATTTTAACATTATTACATATGTATTCCCAGGTGCTGGAGCTCGAGATTTAAAAAGCAGCCCCTGTTAATCACGGCTGTAGATAACATAAATTGTCATAGTTCCAAAAAGTTATCGCGATGAAAAGATAGACACTGCAGGATTTTCCAAGGAGCTCAAAAGTGTTGCCGAATAGCCGAGAAGGGACACCCATACTACTAGAAAGGGGTTTCATAACGCCATCAAGTCCTTCAGCCTACAAAAAAGCTGAGATAAATTTTCAGGGGAGTGATATTAGTGAATTATTTAATTTATACATTGAAATAGATTGATTAGGGATTGAAGGCAATTGCTTGATAGGTTACCCCAAAAAGAGCAAGTCTGAGCATCAGTGTTAGACCAACATCCATATTACTTATGGTTCTGTTTACTACTAGCAAAGCCTTATCAGTAAGGAATACTTAGGCCAAGTAGGTGCAGCTAAAACAGCTTGTAAAATAAATGAGACTACTAATACCACAGTAAATTACTGTCCAGCAGATAAAACTTTTTATCCTATCAACTAGGCAGAAAGGGTGTTTCTTAAGTATGGCCCAACATGGAGCTTCGAAAGATCTAGGACTAAGTTATCAAATATAAATCTATGAGTTCCTCAGGTTACTTGTTAAAATGGGTAAGAACATTTACAACGGCATGCTTTTAAGACAAGTAACCCATGCAAAAATGTTGGGATTGTACACATCAAGTCTTGGAACGAAAGAAGAGGGAGTCAAAGCACACTACAACTGGGCTAGCACGATCTCTCCCTCTGACATATGCGCCTACTCTGATGGGTCATCTGAAGGCCATGGACGATCTTCGTGGGGATATGTCCTCCAACGCGGAGGACAAACATTCGCACAAGGTCACGGTCATCTACATAGCGGTGAAGTTTATGATGCAGAAATTGCAGGAGCAGTAGTAGCACTTCAGGAAGCTATGCGCGCTCGAAAGAACCGTGAGAGAATCTTCGTTCTTCTTGACAATCAGGCAGCTGTACTTGCGCTTCGGACGGGGAAGTCATCATCGTCGCTGCAGATAACCCGCGTCTTTCACAAGTTCGCTTCGGAAGCGAACGTGACAGTGAGGTGGGTGTCTGGACACTCTAAAATTAGTTGCAACGTAGAAGCGGACGTAGAAGCTCGAGTCGGTCTTCAGCTGCTGCCAGATAGATAGACGCAGCCAGTGCAGACAACGCAGGCATATATACGCCGTTTGATGCACAATCGCCGACAGAGACTAGTGGAAGACTGGTGGAATAAGTCGGGTCCGGACAGATATCGAGACCTGGACTTACAGATGCGACTTCGGAAACCACCAGAACTAGGTCTTTCTCGACGATTACTCCATAAGCTCCTAGCAGCAAGATCAGGACATGGAGACTTTGCGGATTATCACTGCCGCCTGAACCACGAATACGCGAAACTGGAATGCGTCTGTGGACAAAGGACAACGCCAACTCATTTTGTCCGATGCAGGAAGAATGCTGCTATAATGCGCAGTTTGAGAAGATCCATGACCGTGGAGAACTATACCAACCAACTACTTGGACCAGAGGGTCTCGAGAAGTTCATAGAATTTGCAAGGAATACCAACTGCTTTGGGAGCATGGATGCAGACCCGCCCTCAGCTGGATGCGAGGGCCGAAGTGATTATTTTTTCAGGACGAGAGAAATGACTGAGGGGGGCATAGGATGAGAAATACCAGCACCGCTCCTACATGTTAATTTGCTTTGTTTCAGTTGGTTTTGTTTGCTATTTCTTTTGGTTTTTTTGGTTGTTCGTCATCAGAGTCACATAGTGACAGTGTGGTGGGAACGAGTAGGGCATAGCTATTTAGGATAATCCTTACCGAGCCCACCAGTCCCGTGCCATAAGGCGCTGGGCTGGTGCCTGGGACCTCAAAATAAATAAATAAGTAAATAAATCAATCAATCATTCTTTTTTTGAGAGGATTTGATGAAAATTTGCCATATCAGCCCGTTTTACCCCGTAAATTCACTTCTCGTTTATCTACTCGTCAATCTCCCGTGGTACCGTGCCACTCAGCCTTAAAATGGCACCGGTACCTCCAAAATCCGCGAAACCCGCGAAAATTTTGTTAACCACTAAAGTAGTAAAGCACAACCACCAGACGCGTCTGGAATCACAGAAGCAAATTCTGAACAAAGCAACAAGTATTACAATGCAAAAAGCGACAACAAAGGGACTGACGCAGAACGACATCGATCTCAAAGGGATGGAAGCCGAAATCATTGCGCAGATGGAAGAAAGCGGCAAAACCGACATTGAGATGGAGGATGCCACTCCCATAATTGATGCTTGGATCCGAAAGGGCCTAAAAGACTCGCGTTGGGCAACTGCAGGAGCGGAGAGCTCCCAGAAGGCGACAACAGCACCAATGATTGCCGTCGAGAAAGTAGTCACGGCGAAAGCAACGCCAGAAACCGCACACGTTGCGGCACGAAAAATCACGGTTCCGATAGCAAAGCGGACACCAACCGCGAGCACACCGAGGGGAACGGAAGACCCCCATAACGCAAAGGCAGCAAATGCCCCACAACTTCCATCAGTCCCTGCCTCGATTCCTGGGACGACTGTGCGTGACAACCAACCTGCTGGTGGTGCTCCCACCAGTGTGGCACAAGAATACCCGCCAGAAATCGAAGCTTTATTGGAAGACGAAAGAAAGCGAGCTGCAAATGCCTCTACCAGACTCAAAATGGGCTCAACAGTCATAAATACATTGGAAAGCGTTATACTGTCACTAAAAACGACGGATAACAAGGAATACTTGGACGACATGAGCGTCTGTCTAAGGGGCACCCTCGCCCCATTCCTACGCATTGGAACCACACCAGTACCGACAAGTCTTCTTCCCCGCCTCACTGGCCAGCAGGCCAGCACCAGCGAGACCTTCCCATCATAAGCCTCCAGGCCAGCAAGGCCTACCGTAGCGGTGCCCCAGTCAACGCCAACCTGGGCAACTGTAGCCCGAAAAGAGCTACCTAGTCAGCCGACGCCAGTGATGGTTAGCCGTGCTCCACAAAAGCTGACCCCGCCGACCAGGATATCGGACAAGACGGTCCCTTCGTCCACGCCGGACAACCGATTGTTCCTCCGGCTGAATTCAAAGCATTAGTGGCGAAAGATGTCCCCAGCTGGTATCAGAGATGCTGTGGCGTAGCTCACCAACGCGCCAAAAGTAGACATTGAACATGTCTACCGAGTCCCAACTGGTTTCGCACTTCGAGCGAAGAATCACGAATCTCGCCAGTTCCTACTGAACGCGGAGGAATCTTTCCTCCCTATCGATGGAAAACTGGAAGAGGCCTCCGACCTTGTGGCGCTCCGGATCTCGACGGTCCCCGTCGCCATCCATACTCTTCTTGGAAGGGTGCCAGTGACGGAGGAGATGGTGATCGAGGAGATCACCAGGGTTACATAGGCCGTTCCAGTCAAAGTTCGGCCTTTCGGAAAGCCCCGCCCTGACGCGCCAGATCGATCATGGCTTGCCAATTTTAAGAAGGGAGCAGAGCCTACACAAAGGTTCCGCTTATTTGACGACTCGGGTGTCGCGGTCCGATATCAACCGCGAAAAACAGGGCAGCAATGCAAACGCTGCCTGCAGTTCCACAGAACGCGTGGTTGCTCCCGTGCCCCAGCTTGCTGGAACTGCACCTCCACAATGCACTTGATGGACGAGTGTCATGCGCACACCAAGTCACGCAACTGCGGAGGTCCGCATAGGTCCGACAGTCGAACCTGCCTGGCGCGCCCCACCAAGTCCGGCGCGGTAAGCAGAGAGCAACTGGCCACCATCCAGACGGCTAGTCAACGCGAGCTAGCGGCAGCAGTGAGGGCAAAAGCCGCTGTCCGTCGCGCTGAGGCAGCAGCTCAAGCGGCCGCCAAGCAGACGGAAGCCGTACCTGGAGCAGTGAAACCAAACAACAGGTTCGAAGTTCTGATGACCGACGTCGCCTCCGACGCCACGGCCACAGGAACGACGAATCCTGTTGAGTCCTCCTGAAGGGCCCCTCACCGGTCCCTTCTAGCCTCCCACCTACGATAAGTTTCATGTCGATCAACGTAGGTAAGGGATGCCAGTCACACGACATTGCGCTTTCCCGAGCTTATGAGCTAGGCGTGGATGTGGTGCTAATACAAGAGCATTCGTGGAAAAAAGCCACAAAGGAGACAAAGTCACAACCTGGCTACGACCGCTATACACCACATGGCGGCGTAAACGTTCGACCCAGGGCAGTGACTTATACACTAATAAACAGTAGAATCCACTTGACAACTCAAATCTTTCCTTGTGATCCCCCGACGGCGGACTACTACTGGGTTGTTGTAAACGGAGTCACGTTTCTCAACGTGTACAAAGACCCAAGCAACCCGACGGCGATTAGACCTCTCCTCAACTGGGACCCACCACCACGATCCGTCGCAGCAAGCGACTTCAACGCAGTGCACTGCGCCTGGCAACCAGGAGCTACCTA